TGCCTAACTTGCTCTGTAGTGAGCAACGTGGAGGTTTCCACCTCTCAGTCCCCTGTGATCCTAAATTTCATGGGGGATAGACTGAGGCTCTTGTAAGGCCGTTTTACTGTACTTTAATGTCATTCCGAACTTACGTGTGAACAATGGATGACCTTTCCACTGTCAACCCCTGGCCTCCCATTGACTGATGAGATCGAGCTTCTCCATTGTCTTTTCCCACAGATATAGTCAATTTGATTTCTCTGCATTTCATCTGAAGAAGTGCACATGTATAGTTGTTGTTTGTGTTGTTGAAAAAAGGTATTTGTGATGAAGAAATCATTGGTTTTGCAAAATTCTATCATGTATGCCCATCTTCATTTCTATCTCAGAGGCTATATTTTCCAACTCCTGTTCTAACTTATCTTCCTTCCTCTTTGTTTCCAACTTTTGCATTCCAATCATCAATCCTTATCAATGCATCTCGATTGCATAGTTGATCAGTTTCAGATCGGAGAAGTTAGTAGAATCCGTTGTCTTTTTCATCACTAACTTTAGTAGTTTCTGCGTAAGTTTGAATAATAGTTACAATTAACTGGATTTCCTTGCATGTGTATAGATAGCACCCTATCACAGACCGCATTGTGCTTCAAGACAAATTTTGAAAGGTCCTTTTTAAGGATGAATGTGACACCGTACCTTTTGAATTTGTCATTCTCGGTATAGTGAACTGTAAGACTGTCTGACTCAAAATGGCTGATACCAGTCTCAGCTCATGAAGGCCTAGCACACTGAGCTTTGTGCATTCCATTGCATTTTTGAAGACTTCCAGTCTTCCAAGATTCATACACTGGGCATTTCATGTTCCAATCAATAATAGATGTTTGTCTCTGTTTATTCTCCTTTGCAGTCATGCCCCATCAGTAAGCGGAGGACCTGACAGCTATGTACTTCATTCTGGTTGCCGCTATTTTGAGGAGGCAGCTCTTCCTCAGTCGTATTTTGAGTACCTCCCAACCTGAGGGGCTCATCTTTGGACACTCTTATCTGACAATGCCCTGCTGCTATTCATGAAGGTTTCAATGTCTGACAATGTTTCAGACATTGTCTGAATTCCTCAGAAGTGGACAGCCTGTTCCTCCTTCAGAGTCTGAAAGCTTCTCTTGGTGGTTCTGATGGGATTGAAATACCCAGGATATAACTGCCAGCATCACCCATGTCAGCACAGTATGACTGACTTACATCAACTGTCCCCCAAAGAAAGGCTTTAAACCGGTCTGTACTGCTTTAGCCATGTCTGCAGGAGGTGAAGCTGAAACAAGTCTGAATTTTAAAAATTTGGAGGAAGTAGTTCAATAAATGGAATGGGAAAAATGATAAGTTGAAGCCTTCAGATAGGAGACTCCAAAGAGCTGTAATGAGCCCCTTCAGGAGCCTGATGTCAGGAAAATAGTATTATTCCCAGTCCAGCTCTCCTCTTAGAGCCAAACACCGTTGTCTCTGACTCTGTCATTCAAGAGATTTGTTTCTTATGCAACACACGCACTGCCCTAGTTTTCTAAGAAGGGGGATTGTTTCTAGCAGGGTGTCAACTTGTTATCATTCAGGTTCATACACATTTTCCAAATTGGGATTTGTTTTGGTTTTGCTTTGTTGGCCATGGCTGAACTATGAAACACCAGTTTGAAACCCTGCCCCATGTCACATAGCATCTTTTCTCAGCTGCCATTCCCAGCCTGCACCTCCTTGACACACGCATGAATGTTTCTCTAGAGCTTCCTCTTTGCCAGTGTCTTCTGGGAGCCTCCTGCCCTGCCCAGGTCATCTGGCCAAGTACTTCTGGGTTCTCTCCACTCACACAGTGTGTCCTCTGGGCTTCACCACTCACATTGGACCCCAAGGTCAATGGAGGAAGAGGGCCTTGTATCCAAGAAGGTTAAGGTGACCTTGAAGGGCTTCTGGCCAATATCCTTAAAATTTTTTATTATTATTATTTTTTATTCTTTCCATTTTCCAAAATGGCCTAACAAGTAATGACTTCAGAGCATAGTGTTCCAGGGAAAACCAGAGAGAGGAACAAAGTTCTCCATGGTTGGAGAGATGCAGACCCATAAACAGATGAATGAATGTTACCAGAGGGCAGGGATTAAGTCAACACCAGGTGGGACATTTTCCAACATGCGGGCCTGGAAAATGTTCCTCCTGCAAAACAGAATTTTCCGGGCATCTGCCTTTCCTTCCACAACCCAAGAGGGCAGAGACTCCAGTCACCAGCCAAGGTTCTGGCTTCCTTAACTAGCCTCGGGATGCTCACCACATGCCCACCCTAACATTTCAATTGTGTCAGAGTTTAGAGGATTATGGAAGTAGAACACATTATATTAGAACATTTTGTATGGGGGAATATTGGCATGGAATTTTGGAATCCACCACTATTACCACTGCCACCAGCACCACCACCACCCCTGCCACCAAATAACAACCCAAACACAAAACCCATAAACCCGTTTTCTACAAATTGAGGCTTCAAGAGTCCCGAGTAGCTTAGTTTAGGGCCCTTTTCCTTCTGAAGGGTCTTTGATCTGTGACAAATTTTGGGAGCCAACAGGCTACATTGTGTAACAAAGCTCTAAGAAGTCCAAGGAAAAGAAGAAATGTGATCTATAGAGTTGTATTGGCTGGTTTTCAGAGTCATCCTCTAATATTCCTTGTCCCTTAATGCCCTTGAGAAGCCGTCTTTTGAGTCCCATATTTCCTGGGGTCGTTTGCCTTCTTAGTTTCAGTTTAGCTGGAGACAGAGGGCAAGAGCAGAGGAGAGTGTTTCCTACTTGCTTCTGAGATTGCCAGTCGCTCTGATTCACCCAGCAAAAGCTCCTCCCAGGAGAACTCTCCAGCCCTAGAACTTTCTCATAGCTTCAGCACTTGCCGGCTCCTTTACACCAGTTTGTGGTTGACTCAGGGCCCAGGGTGGTAACAGCTTTCCACTAGTGCTAGGCTCTGAGAATGTCAACTCTGAAGAGTACCAAACTAATCCCCCTGCTGTCTCGTGGATTCTGGCTCCAAACGACCCTACGGGACAGAGTGAAATTGTCCTTTGGGGTTTTCCAGGCTTGCCATAGTTTCTGCCACAACTTTCTCCTGCATTGTACCTGGTGAGTTCAAACTGTTGACCTTTCAGTAGGTAGCCAAATGCTTAACTTTGGCGCTACCACGGCTTTTGGCCTGTGGATAGTCCCTTCAATGCAGTCTCTTCATTTTGGACCATCTGAACAGGTTATGCCGCAGGACATGGGTAGGGAAAGGCCCTAAGAAGGCTGGGAATGCCACATTCTCAGCAGTACTGTTCTTGACTCCTGATATGCTCCCATGGAGGAAGCTATCTCTCTGCACAGAGGTCTGAAGAATGGGGTTCAGTGGGCATGGTGTAAAGGAGTGAGCTCTCACGGTAGCATTTAAAAACTCAAGGCAGACAGTGGCAGCAGGGAGTGGCAGGGCAGTAGGGAGGGGTGACACTTGCTGGGAAGAGTTGGTGTCAGAAAGTGAGCTTTATGGATGCAGAAGAGGCTCTACCCAGATATGCCTTCCGGGGAGGACTTGCTGCCCAGTGATGGGACGTGTCCTCAAGTAAACAGCCTCCTGGTCACCAGAACAAACCCACTGCCATCAAGTTGATTTTGACTCAGAGGAGCCAACCACCTCATCTTTCTTCCAAGGAGCGACTAGTGGGTTTGACTCACCAACCTTGAAGTTAGCAGACAAAGGCCTCTGCTAAACATTCTTCATTAAAACTTTGTCATAATTTTTTCCCTCCTGAGAAGCTGCCTTTGTTAACCCATTGGTGGTGGTGGTAGGTGCAGACCCGATGCCCAACACCGCCTGGTTCTTCACTAAGGTTGGCTTAATAAAAAAATTATAGGAGTGATTCTTATATAACGAGTTCATACTAGTACCAGAATGCCCATTCTTTCTGTGGGCTTCCTTGTTTCTGGTAACTGCTGGCAATCCCCGCTGTAGAGAGCCTTATGGAGCATCTGTCTTCCCTTGTGTGTGCATCCATCTCTTGGGCCTATTCTCCATTTTTAAAACATCATCCAGATGTGATTCAGGTTTTTAGTCCCATGTGACTTAACATCACAAAAGAAAGCTTCTCCTTTCAAACAGGTGTCCTATTTATAAGCACAGGAGTTAGGGAAGCAACATAACTTCAGGGACACAATGGATTGATGACTTCTAACACCAACCTGTCAGTGACTTTGGGAGAATGTACAGCAACAGCATTCAAAGCGCAACATTCCAATTGGATTGTGTTGTAAGGAGCCTCGAGGATCTCCCAGGGGAAGAGCGCAGTAGTAGTGAGGGGAGACTGTTCACCAGGAAGGGATGAGAGATTGGAACTTATTAGTTAAGAGTTGTTTAGTGAAAAATGTTCGAGGGGGAATGCTTACACAACCTGAAAGGAAAATGGCTCTGGAGAAGTACGTGCTTGGACTAAGCAGCCTTCCCATGTGGTACTGGAGATCTCTGAGAACTGAACATTCTTTTCTGGTGAAAAGACGACCACAGGGCCGTCTTTTGTTAAATGTTGCCTGCTCGCAACATGCTAGTACCTACTCAGCATGTCTCAGTACATGCTCTCACTTCACGTCCTCCCTCACTGTCCTCTGAATCTGCTGCTTTTGAACACGACCATGTCACCTAGTCTAGTCTATAAAGCACATGTTTTGGGCTGCCTTCTCATCCTTGGGTTTGGTGGCTCGCCGTATGCTATAGGGCCTATGGCAAGATTTCATTTAAATCCCTCATTTTTTCCTGGTTGATAAGAGAAAATCCCCTATGGTTAACGCACAACATGTGGTTATTTTTCAAGTCATGTCAAATGGTTCAAGTCATGTCAAATGGTTCATAATGGTTTATTCTTCCCCAAGTCTGCCTAGCTCAGAACACCCCCACCCCCAGTTTGCAACCAAAGATCAAAGCAAGTTTTCCAATTTCCAAAATTTTATTGAGATGTTGGGGAGAAACCAATTTCCAAAATTTTATTGAGATGTTGGGGAGAAACAGCCAACATATTCATTCCTCATTTTCTTCACGATTGGCTTTGATTGAACTCCAGGTGGCCTTGGCAGTCCCCCCCTGCGGTCTTCACTGCTGCCCGGCGGTGTTCGATGTCCCCTGGGCAGAGCCCGTCCTTGATCTCACAAGTGTGAGCGGTAATTGCGATTGGCTGCGGGAAGAGCAGATTGGGAACATGGCCCACAGATTAGAACATCCCCACGCGCACCCTTCTTGCCCAGATGAACTTGAAAATCGGAAATCTCAGGATGAGACTTCGAGGCCAAGGGACTGACCCCAGGAGAGCAGACCTTTGGAGCCACAAGCTTTTCCAGTTGGCCTGCTCCCCTCCTTCTCCTCCCTCACTTACCATCATCGCCCCGTTTCCTACCCTTCAGGCTCCTCCGGTACTTTCTTTTACTCCCACCTCTCTTGACTCCCTTGTGGGGAGACCGGTTCTTGCCCCTCCTCATGCCATGACCCTTTAGTTTGCGGCTGGTCGACATCCTAATTTCTGCGAAAATGAGGGGCTTTGCAGGGCCGGAGGCCAGGAGCCTGGGTATTTAAGGACTTAAGCCATTGTGACTGTGAGGAGGCGTGGCCCAGTAGGTGGGCGGGGCTCCATTGTGAGGCCAGTAGCCTTGGTCACACTTTGGTCATATATGGGAAATAAGGGTCCCCCCCTTAACGCAGGTCAGGGTCTGCTTTTATGTTGGGTGAAACTCTCTCTGCAGATAAGTGTTCAACTGAGCAAGAAAATCGGGGCGGCAAGAGACTCTGAAAGTACATATCTCCTCCCCAAAACTTGCTGCCCACTAGCCAGTGCGACTCAGGGTGAGCCCTGTGGGTTTCTGAGACTGTAACTGCTTCTGGGAGTAGAAAACTAGTCTCTCTCCCGCGCAGCTGCTGGTGATTTTGATCTGGCACCATGCGAAGCACAGTCCAAAGAATAGCCACTGCACCCCAGGGCCACCTATCTCCTCTCTGTAGAAAATTAAGTAGCCATCAAATGTATGTAGTGTGTGTGTGTGTGTGTGTGTGTGTGTGTGTGTAGTCTTGAGCAGCATTTGAGGGTAACAATCTCATGTTAGCAACCCTCATCTCCAGGGAATCCATTTCAATATGATCAGAATTAAACTGCTTGCTTCTCAGCATTTTATTCTAGACTTCCTTAACTTTTCAATTTTTTGTGGTCGTTGGAAGTTGAAATTTATGACAGCCCATTGTCCCAATACTATAATTGGCTTCAGAGTCAGGACCCCCATAAGCCAGCAGCTGTCTAGCCAACTCTGACTTACCGTGGCATGCTATGGTTCATGGGAGAACCGTTCCAGAGGGTTGTCAATGGCTGTGGTCTTTTGGAAACATCACCAGATCTTTCTTCCTCAGAGTCTCTGAGGGGGTTCGAACCATCAACCTTTCACTTCCTAGCAGAGTCTCTAGCGTTTGCACCACCCAACAACCCCAAAGTTTGAATCACCAATCCTAATGGTGCTAAACTGAATCGAACCTTCCGCCGGTGTCATATATCTATCTCCCCACACAGGTGATGGAGCATCCTTGCCTCTGATTCTGAGTGCACTACAAACATCACTTTTCTGGGCTTTAGCTCCTTTATTTCTTAAATTACTGCGTTGGGCTAGGTGATCTCTGAGATTACCGGACTGTTAGCAGAAGCTTCTTTGTAGTAAGGGATTGTGTCTCTTCTTCCTACTTCGTTCCCCGCAGGTGCCAGGCCAGCTCCCAGGGAGCAGTCTTCATTTGTTCCTTCTAGCTGGGTAGCGCTGTGTGCACGGACTGGCCAAGGCAATCAGAGTGAGTGCTCACAGAGCGAGAGAGGTTCGAAGCCGGGGAGAGAGAGGAGGATATTGTCCCCAGCAGAGGCCCATAGGTACTCTGGCTGGCTTCTCATTTGGGACTCGGCCGGCTCAAAAGCTTGCCCAGGAGCTGGCCTCTGGCTTTTAAGAAGCATTTTCCGGATGGTTCTAGAGACTGGATAACACTTCTCTTCCTTAATCCCTCCCACCCCCCAAAGACCCGCTCTACCGAAGAGAAGCTGAGATCATAGGCAGGAAGTCAGCCAGATTTAGAAAGTGAAGAAAAAGAGGAAGAAATTCCCCTTCCGCAGGGTGATGGAGTGGTTCTGGCACACAGGCTAAGAAACTTGAGCAGCAGAAAGCCTGGTGGGGTGGGGCGGGGTGGGGGTAAGGGGTGACTCGCAGGCCAGACGAGGGTGGGGTGGTGGGGGCTGTTTGGGTTGGCTTCTGGATCAGACCTCCTGGAGTCAGGACAGAATGGAGTTGAGGGCCGGGCATTGTGGCCTGTCCATGTTTCTCTTTCCATGCCTGCCCCAGGGTGGCTTTCATCAGTTATACTTTAGATAGGACACAGGGAGTTCATTCTTGACCCTTAGTGGACCCAGAGCTAGGCCCTCTGGCTGGCTTCTCTCCTCTCTTTCTCTTAGGTGAGGAAAGTAAGGCACAGACAGATTAATCAGCAACCAGTTGATGTCAAGTCAATTCCGACCGAGGGAGGCCCTTGTGTGCAGAACCGAACTGCACTTTGTAGGGTCCTCCCGGTGGAGACTGTTTGGAAGTAGACAGGCAGGCCTGTCCTCCTAAGCACATCTGGGTAAATTTGACCTGCCTATCTCTTAATAGTCACTGTGTGATTACTCTTGTGCTACCCAAAGCCTTTCTCACTGTTCCTGAGCCCATTCTGACTCATAGTGACCCCATAGACCCACCCTGGTGAGCTTCTGAGATGGTAACTTTTACAGTGAGAGCCTCATCTTTCTCCCTCAGAGCTGGCTGAAGGTTTTGAACTGCTGACCTTTGGGTTAGCAGCCCCACTCATAACTATGATGTCACCAGAACCTAATAACTGGAGCTACTTCAGATCAAACAGCACACAAGGAGCAGAGATGGCCCAATGAACGTGTTTCCTTTATGCTTTGTGTCCGTGATGAGTGTTCCCTTGTGCTTCTCTTGACGAAGGACATGGATGTTTGATAGCTGTGAGGACGTGCAGAGGGAGAAGTGCCTTCCTGGCTTGTTTAGAAGAGACGCCTTGGCCTTTCTCTCTCTCGGGGCTGAGTATTGTCTTGCTGGGAGATGGGTGGATTGACAGAATGGTGTCTTTATCTCTGAAAGGGAAAACCTTGGGTCCCAGCACTCTCCGTGGCCCCCTTCTTAGGGTTAGGGTTAGGTTAGGGAGGGTCAGGCTTAGGACATTACTGTTTTGGAAGCTGTCTCACTGTTTGGGGTCCCATCTCACCTCCCCATTTAAAAGTCACTCTAGCAATTTTCCCGGGGAGCCCAATGGGCTTCACAGGGCTGGATCTTCCCAGCAGGCCGGGAATTGGAGCTCATTAAAAGGAAACATCAAAAAGTTGCTGACAGTCCTGACACACGTCAATGGCTCAGTCCCGCTCTGACACTGAAGTCTCTCCAGATGTTGACCTTGCCTGGGAAGAGGGACCTTCTATCCTGTTCACATGCACGCCCTGTCTTTTTTATTGCCTTTTTGCTGCTGCTGCTGCTGCTGCTGCTGCTGCTGCTGCTGCTGCTGCTGCTCAGGGCTCCACGGACTGGCTTGAGAGGCAGAACATTTCAGAGAGAGGGACCTCCTCAAGTTGGGGAGCTGTCTGAACTCAGGACTCATCTCATGTCCCCATTAGGGAATAACGAGAGATTGGAGACTAAGACTGGAGAGATTTTCAGAGAAAAAGCAAGTAGGGATTTCAGTTTGCTTTACTTTTGCCCATTCGGGCCCATTTAGGAGTCCTAGTGGCATAGTGTGGTATGAATTGGGCTGCTAACCACAAGGTCAGCAGTTCAAATCCACTCGTTGTTCCTTAGGAGAAAGATGCAGTTACTGTCTTGGGAACCCACAGGAGCAGGTCTATCAGTCAGAAGACAAAAGTAGGGTGTATTCTGTTATCAAGGGCATGCTGTGGTTTACAAACATGTCACACCAACTAAGGCATTTGGTCTCATGAGGTTTTTAGGAACAAATAGGTTTTTATCAATTTGGGAAGGGACTTTGCCTTAGGAGCAGTCACTGGAGAGCAATTCCAACCCCATTCATATTATGCAGGCTTCGGAATGAAGGACAACAACTGGGGCAGCGGCACACATTATAGGCAGAATTGCCTTTCAAGCCTGATCTTCAAAAACCCAGCGCAGGCTTCTTTCTCCTTGCTACCACGAAGCCATGAGGCAACACAATGGAGATTTCGGTGGTTTTCTCCCCCTTTTCCATGTTCCAAGTGCCATGTGCCAGAGCCCTGGCCCGCTTGAAATCTCGGCCATGTGTCAAGACCCTCTGGTTATTGAGTTCGAGGGACCCGTGAAAAGGGGAAGAGGACCAGACACACAGACTGACGTTGGAAGACATGAAGGCCATTGGCGCCACCAGTGATGATTTCCGAGCACTGTGATCCTCACCATGTAACAGTGCACTGGACAGGGGGCTGGCTTTCTACAACAACAACAACAACAACAACACATTGATTCCTGTTATAACTCCACTGACCAAGATTGGGTTAAGAGTGAATATTACAATGTAATCCTTTTTTTAAATTATTAAATAATTTTATTGGGGGCTTGTATAGCTCTTATCACAATCCATAGCTCCAGCCATTGTGTCGTACATATGTTGCTATTGTCATTTTTAAAACATTTTCTTTCTACTTGAGCCCTTGCTATCAGCTCATCCTCCCCCGTCCTCATGATCCCTTGATAATTTATAAATTATTATTTTTTTCATGTCTTACACTGACCACTATCTCCCTTCACCCACTTTTCTGTTGCCCATCCTCCTGGGACAGGGGTGGGGGTGTTATATGTCATTTACAATGTAATCTTATATTGACTTAACTAGTTGAATTTCTATGACATGGTGAATCTCTATGTTCCCAGTCTTAGTTATTTTCAATTGAGAATGAAGAAGAGGGGAAGGCAGGTTGAAGACCTGCTTTGCATCATAAGGTCTTAGGAAAACAAATGCAGAAATTGTAGGCAGAAGACTTGCCTGACGGTATCACTGCCAGCTTGGCTCCCCCCGACCCCCCTCCCCATCCTTTCAGGCAGAACTCTTCGTAGTTGGAAATCTCATAAAGGAGGCTGAGTTGCAACAATCTATAGCAAAGAAAGGAAATAAGTAACTTTTCAGGGCTCTTTCTAGTCCTGGAATTCCATGCGCCAAAGCAACAACGTTTTAATGATGTTACCCCTCTGACCCCTCTTTGCTGGGAGAAGGAGGGCTTGCCTAGTGAGATCTTGGAAGCACTTCACATTTTTATTTAAGGCAAGACCAGAGAAAGACCTAGAAACTTTGAGTGACTCCAAACTTTTATTGACCCCAAATTTGCTGTTACTGAGCAGCCTCCTCTGCTCTAGCCAGGAGGAACTGAGACATTTCATGCTACAGAGGTATTCTAGAAGCCGATGAAGCCTGTCACCATTCAGACAGACGTTCTCCACAGATCACTGGCCCAGAAGAGCGACAGAGGCACTTGTGTCGTGCTGTAAGGAAGCAAAGACAAAGTTGAGGTTACAGAGGGTCCTGGTTAGAGTAGGAGAGTCTTAGATGGCTCTTCCAGCGGGCACACAAGGATAATTTGATCTCTCTTTCAGATTTCCCCTGATGATTTGGCTTCTTTTTAAAGGTCTGTTTTGGCTCTGGCTCTGTCACTATTTATGGAACTTGTTCCAGGTAAAAGTCCTAGCTACTAAGAACCAGTGACATCATTTGCATGGCCGGGCGCGTTTTACTCCTGTAATGAGTTACAGTCGCAGAAGCCCACAGCGACAGTTCTACTCTGTCCTACAATGAACCTAATTCTTCCTCCAGGGAATTAACAGCTCAGACCCTACTGAGAACTCTAAAGAGACCTAGTGGGTAGAGAGTTTTAGCGCAAAGCAAAAGGAGTCTGTTGGGGTCGCAGCGGTGAAACGCTCCACCGTTCAGCAGAAGGTGGGTGGTTCAAGCCCACCAGCCGCTGCACAGCAGAAAGATGCATTCATCTGCTTCCGTTCAGAGGACTGGGGAGGCGGTTCTCACCTGTCGTGTAGTCAGAACCCAGGAGTCAATGGTGAGGGATTTGGTGCAAAAATACACTCAGTTCCCTTGTTCAAAAGTTATCAATGCCAAGATCGTGACAGCAGATCATTAAACCAAACATGGGACTCTGGGCATCTGCAGAGGCCACATAACCATAATGCCAGCCCTGTAGTCACTGGGAAGGCTCCTCAGAATTCCTGGAGGGTGTCAAAGTTGAAGATCTTAGCGGCTGAGCGTCCAGGTTGGAAGTTTGAGTCTACCCAGAGGCACTACAAAAGAAAGGCCTATCCCATGTAAGAGCCCCCATAAAATGATTTATTAATCAAAAGAAACAAAAGAAAGCCATGACAGAAACACCGGAGACACAGCGTGGACACACATGTGGTTGCCAGGAGTCAAAATCAATCGATTTCAATGGGTTTTATTTTGATTTTACGCGAACTATCCAGGTAAGTCGATTGTAGCTCAGGAGAGCTGGTCCCATGTCTTGTTTATAATGGGGGCTTGATGAAAACGGGTGAATAACTTGCTTCTCATTGTGGTGCCAGATGGGTGGCCATGAATGATGCTTCTGCAACGTTGGGCCATCACCCACCCACCCCAACCCCATATCCTCTAAGTCAGCACCGCTACTCCCCACCCGCTTTCCAGCACCCCTCAGGATCACACATCAAAGAGCCTCATCAACCCCCCCTTTTTCTCCTTCATGCTTGCTTCTGCTATGTGCTTCTCCCCAAATGAAATGAGTCCCAGTGAACATGCGATACTGCTGCGTGCAGGAGGACTGCTATGTTGTCAGAGTTCAACGTGGGCTTTGGGGGACTTTTACCTGTCAATGATATTCTGAGCCTGTGGATGGGCCTCCGATCAAAAACACCCCAAACTAGGCCATTATGATCCTGGGTCTTTCACGCTGCGATGTCACAATGGCCAGTCGAGGTCATTAGGCCTATTCACAGTAGAATGATGAAGCACAGGAGCCAGGGACAATTTCACTCAGCATTAAACCAAACAGATTTTCTGGGTGCAAGTTACTGAACTTGGAGAAATCATTTTGTTGATCGTAGACTTCAAGATTCTGTTAAACCCAGCAGCCTGGTGCCCTTAAGGCAAGCCCATTGTTTTCCTACTGAAGAAACAGACCATCGGAGCTCACTACCTCACAGACTCAGAGTGTCAGACATTTGGTCAAGGATGCACCGATCCTAAACAGCAGAGCTGGTATTGGGACCCACATCTATTTAATGTTAGTACGTGTGGTCTGACGTGTTCGCTGCTCAGGGCCGGGCAGAGGGAGAGGAGGCTAGTTCATTGTGTAGAGGGCGAAACCTTTCACTGAGTGCTCAGCATACTAATAGATATGAACAGACATGGGAGCGTTGACATGCTCAAGGGACTGACAAAGCCCGAGGAAGCGAGTTTGAATCCCAGACTTCTACCCCAAGTGTATGACTGCTGGGCAAAGGCCAGACTAAGAAAGGAATTTGGAGAGAGAGAGAACTGGACTTAGTTTCCCCAGGCTGAGATGTATACAAGGAAGATCCACTTAGTGCCCACTTAGATGGCCCATATACCAACTGGATGTAGGTATCTGAACAGAAGAGCATGAGAGACAAGTTGTGCATAGGCAAGAGCTCAGAAATGCACCCAGCAGGTGATGAGCAGGGAGATAGCCACAGAGCCTCAACACGTATGTGGGTGAATAAATCAACTGGAGACTGTCAGACTTTCTAGGACCCCTCATCCCAGATTCCAATCCTTTCAGTCTGACGATCAGAATACATTTCGTGCTGATTATGATTAACGAGTAACTACCGACAAGGAAAAGAGGATCGAGAATAAATGACTAAGGTTCAGATCCCTTTTTTCATTTGTGTATCCAGTTCTCTCTATTTTCTTCATAATACTGTTCTCATATTTTAAGAATCACCCTTCAGAAATATCTGTTAGGCTCAGCTTCACAGGAACCCCCAATTAAATTATTTAAAAAAAATGCAACTCCTCCTAATTTTCTTTTCCCCTCTTCCCAATCTTTGTTGTCTTCCTCTAAAGATGGAAACAAACGAAAAAAGCCCCACAACTCAACAAACTCACAGGCGTCAAGTCACTGGGGACCCTGAAGATTCCAGTAGAACTGCCCCTTTGTGCTTCCGAGACTGGGCATCTTTCTGGGAGCGGAAAGTGCCTGGCTCTCCCACAGAGCTGCTGCTACATTAGAACTGCCGCCTTTGGCTTGTGGTTAGCCACCCAACGCATAAACAACAGCCACCAGGGCTCCTTCAACTATTAAAATCAGGGCTATTTAAAAAGAACGACAGGAGAATGCTAAAATCTCTGGTTTCTTAATGTCTTCTGGAAGCAGATTACTGGACGAACCGTGCAGGTGATTGGACTATCACCTCCCTTGCCCCTACAGGTGGTGAGCTTTCTTGGAGAAGTGAATCAACGTAAGCTTCATACAGGAAGGGTGTTTGAAATGAGACCCCACTGCTGACCTTACCCTTCTGGATGGCACCGCTCAATAAACTTATTACGCAGCCTTAAAACCCAGGGAAAATGTTGATTCTCATCTGTCGTTTCTGGTACAGCATTTTCACCTATTAAAATCCTCTATGTCTTTCAAAGCTTCAAGCTCTATGATCAATCACTTCCTCATATGATTGCCCATAATATATCTTTCGGGCACATTTTATATCATTTATATCCCCACCCTCCTCTCCCCATAAGTTTCATTTGTGTGCATCTTTTCTCTTCCCAGACATGAAGCTTCTGGAAGCACAGATGTGAGGCTCTGCAGAAGGGAACAGAGAGCGTGGGATAGAAACAAGTTCAATTAGAGCTTTAACTTCCCAAATTTTGGGAATAGGAACAGGGGCAAGTAGGGGCAAGAGGCAGAGATTCAAAGGGGCATATGAAAATTATAGAGGCTGGTGGATAGGCTTGATATTTTATGGTCGTGGGTTCATGAGTATACCTGAAATATTAAAACCCGTGCATTGCAGGTATTGGTGGTCTGTTTTATCATTTTGTATCTTAGTAAATCTATGCTCTAAATTCTACTTTGTTTGGGACTTGGCCAAAGACACTGGCACCAGAAATGAATACCTAAATATTACCACAAGTAGAAGATTCAGAAACATTGGCTGGTGTCTGAGGCAGAGAGGGTTTTGTATGGTATATATTATGTAGAGGGGGTTTTAATGGTCAGACTGATGGTCAACTAGCCGACTCAAGCAGGCATAGCAGGGTTACCCTTGACTTTATGCAAATGTTTCAATACTCCTCCACTCACCCACCCAAACTTGAGTGCTGACTGTCAGCCACGGTGACAATGACATCATAAATCACCAGTCCTTTTACCAGGAGGGCCCATGTCACATATAAAGGGGGTGATGGGTAGGCGCTTTGAACTTGGGGTGGGGGGGGTAGCAAGGCAGGGAGGAGGTGGAGGCGGCCTTTTTAGTCTGAACCACACTTCTGGCAAGAGTTTGGGGCAAGTAAGAAGATGGTGAAAATCTGGAAATATAGGTGTTCACAATGGCAGCTGAAGAATTTTCCACATGGGCAAGAAGCAAAGAAGTTATGCCAGAGAAGGAGTGGGAAGATAAGGTATTGGTGGCATTTCCCCATCACAAAGCATCCCATGTACAGTCTGAGGACTTATTCTCTTAGTTTGGCCAATTTCCAAAATGCTACACTTTGCTCAAAATATAACATCCTTAGTAACTAATCCCTCAGAGCAACTGCATCCTTAGTAACTAATCCCTCAGAGCAATTGAACATCCATATCCCCAACAGTCCTTCAAAGAACCAGATTTCCCATATTCATAGCTGCTTCACACTAGGGACTGTCTCTCTGATCTTGCAATTCCACAGAGATTTTGGACTTGTCTCTTTGAAACTGGGGTTATCAAACTCTTGGAAACCGTGTTTGGGAAGATGCCTGTAGGAGGAACATGGGTTTCCTTAGTCTAAACCTGATGTTTTCTCATTCTTCTTAGTCAGCAAGTGCCAATTCTCAGGCTGAAAAGGCTTCTTGAATCGGTGATTTTCCAAATCCAGTCCTTACCTACGACCGGCAAAAAGGCAAGGGTCTCCAGCTACAGGCCTAAGACCACCATGATCATCTGCAACTTCACTCCTCTGCGCAGGGGCTCCAAATAAACACTCTCCCCTCACAAGTGGTGGTTTGAGCATTGCTGTTTAGCAGCCGAGTGACCGATGGCACACTATGCTTGACTTTTTTTTAATGTTATAGGACAGGTGGGGTATGATAAGTAGGATTGCCCCATGAGTCAGGAGGAAATTTGTCATTTTTTACCTTCCCCCCCTATCTTTAAGTAATTTATCATCCTTGAAACTTACGGCTTGGTTTTGATTCTAGAGAATTTGAGATGCTTTGGGATGTGTAACTTAACAGATGCCTGTTGGGCTAGGGGTACAACATCCTTTCAATATGTAACCAGACCACCAGCCAGTCACCCTTCGAATTTCATCTGTTGTCAATAAGGAAAAGGATCATCCATCTGAAAAGCCCAAGTCATGTCAACATGTAAGAACGAGGAAGAGACAACCCACATGCCTGTAAGAGCATATGTGTGCTGTCAACTTTTAAAGATCACAACCTTGCGTTTCTTTAGGGTCAAATGCTTGTGATAGCTATGTGGAAGAGTGTTGTGTAAATGAACTTGAACTTTGTAAAGACACTTGGGGGTAACAGAATCCTACATGTGGGCTATGCACACTAAGTTGCTAATCAGAAGGTCAGCAGTTTGAAATCACCAGTCACTCCATGGGAGAAAGAGGAGACTTTCTACTCCCGTGAAGAGTTACCATCTCAGAAACCCACAAGGGAAGCTCTACTCTGTCTCCGAGGGTCACTGCGAGTGGGTTCCATGGCAGTCAGCGTTGAGTGAAAATACACGGATGGCAGGAAGCCTTCAGTATTCCTCCGGCAATGTGAATTTCTACAGAGCTAGACCTCAACATGTCACATTTTCTAACCTGGAATGATATAGACAGGAGAACAGAGACGGGAACTGTCTGTCTTAAACATTTTATATTCCATTAACTTGGGTAGGCCCCAGGTTTTGTCCCATCTCTGAGATGAGGTGAGATTTCAATGTTTTTTTTCCTGGTAGAACAGTGCTCCTTCAGTGGTCACATATGGTCTTCACGTAGGAGGAGGGGTGAGACTGCATTGCCTGGAAATGTCGTGGCAGGTGAAAGCGCCTTTTAAAAAGTTCCTGGGTCCGTTAGAAATGTACCTTGCAGAGGAGCATAGCTTGTGGGAGAAGGCAAAGGTAAAGGAGGTTGATAGGCTACCTTGCTTCATCGCTAAGTCAGCATCCCACCCCAGCCCCACCACCACTGGAACGTGGGTATAAAATCAAGAATGTTCCTGCTACACCTGCTTCGGTCAGTTAGTTGACCATCAGTCTTCACTTGATCTTAGCCAAAAAGCCGAGAAGTGATGACCATCAGTCTAGCCAATAACAACCACCCCGACTGTATAGGAACCTTGCACTATGGACTAACTCCCATGTGCAGGGCATCATGTCAGGTAGGACACATGCTCTGCCAGAGCGTACGTAGTTCCACCAGGTGGAAAACCAGAGTGAAAAGAACAGTGGCGATATCTGCCTACCAGGTTAGAACGCAACTGTTGTTGATGTTCATAAGGGAGCGAGCTTTAAGTGGCGAAACCCAGAATCTAGTGTCCGGGATGATAATCTTTATTGATGAGGGTCCTCAATGAGGTGAGAGATCATGACCCAGGACATACCTCACAGCAGCTTTTGTGAATTATGATGTCAGGGGCTATGGCCACTGGAAAGGTCTACTATACATTATCTGCAAAGGCTCAGACAGTACATAATTTAAGCTTTGTCCTGACTGGTTTTCTATTCTGCAAAAAAGTAGTAATTTTTAAGTGAATAATCAGAGGTGTATTCTAATCTTTTAAAATCGCCAGTGGGATGGATATGGCCCGGAGGTTATTGTTTGCCCAGCCCTGCCCTAGAGCTCGTGTTAACCTCCATTTATCCCAATTCTACCACTGATAGAACGACTGTCGCAAAATCGACCAAAATCATACAGCTTAGGATATGCTTAAATTAGGGCCCAACTCCGCATCTAACCAAGCCAGAGTGATATTATTATACTAAAAGAAAAACAAACAGAAAACACAGGTCGTAATGGTAGAGTTGGTCTTTAGGGATTTTTCTACTCAAGTTGCCTAGCCCCCTAAGACTATCCTGGTTCCTCCCTTGTAGGGCTTTGTCTACATGTCAAACTTGCTCTTCCTTTTCCTTAGAGGTTCACTAACGTGTTGTGGTATTTTGTTCCTCCTTCCCCTGCCACTGTGGCACATCTTCTTTAACAAGTGCCATGTGGAGGGGAATGCAGGGGAGGGAGGGTCAGTAATAAGGAAATCCAGAACCTACTAGTCTTAACCCCGATTCTGCCTGGACAGTTAAGCCAGTGACAAGGTGAGGCAGCTAATAAGATCTGGTCTTTGTGTGATGTCAGTCATTCTGGTCATAATGTTACAACCGCCATTATCTTTACCACCTCATGCAATCAGGTCCTGAAACCTGGCCCCAAATTAAAGGATTAATTATATTAAAGCTTATTTAAGTGCAATTCCTTTTGCCTTTATCCAACTACTGCCCCATAGCCTTTCTCCATTCTCTGTGCTTTTCAGAATGCCATGGTTATTCATCAGTGTGGTCTTCCAATACACCCTCTGATTCTATTGTTGTTAGGTACCGGCGAGCTGTTTGCCACCCATAGCAACCCTGTGGGCAACAGCACCAAGACGGCCTGGTCCTGCGCCACCCTCACAAGTCTCCTTCTGTTTGAGCCCGTTGTTGCAGCCACTGGCTCATCCATCTTGTTGAGGACCTTCCTCGTTCCTGCTGCCCCTCCACTGTATCAAGGATGATGTCGGATTATGTCGATTATTATTCTCATAGCATCTCTGATTGGTCACTTGGGAGCCATAAATAGTCCATGGATTTATTTTCTTAGACAAGATGGGCAGGACAATATGGGTTGAACTAGCTCCTTTGGTTAAAATATAGCACATTATCATTTAATCTCCTCTTTGATCCATTTAAAATCTATGCTAGTTTTAATATTTTCTGCTTTGTTTTTGATCGAGGCTTTTAATTTTTACTTTGCTATTGCTGTTAGTGGTTTTTTTTAACTAATGTTTTCCTGTATATGATATCCAGGATACGTAAATCTATTGAGACAGTAACTGGATTAATGGTTCCTCAGGGGTATGGTGGAACTCCGGTGGCATAGTGGCTACGAGTTTGGCTGTGATCTGAAAGCTCAGCAGTTCAAAACCACCAGCCACTCCAAGAGAGAAAGATGAGGCTTTCCACTCCTGTAAAGAGTTGCAGTGCCAGAAAACTCATGGGACAGTTCTACCCTGTCCTTACATGGTCATTATGAGTCACTACAGACTCAAAGGCAGTGAATTGGGTGGAGTTGGTAGGGGCATGGCAGGCGAGTTTGGAGGGCAAATGGGAGGAGTTAATAATGATGAGTACAAGAATCAAGACAATCTTACAGAAGGTTCACAAGGAAGAGATGAGCCAGTGAGGGTGCAGTGTAGCAATGATGAAACATATAACTTTTCTCTAGTTCTTTAATGCTTCCTCCCCACCCCCCACCCCCAGCCACTATCATGACCTCAGTTCTACCTTACAAATCCGGCTAGACCAGAGCATGTACACTGGTACAGAAAAGAGCTGGAAACACAGGGAATCCAGGACAGATAAACCCTCAAGACCAATAATGAGAGTAGCAATACCAGGAGGGTAAGGGGCTTCTCCTAAAGTGGGCTACAGATGAAGAATTTCTAAGGACTTCCTGTAGCCTCGAAAAAAGAGAGGCATGGGACAACTCCTCCAGGGCTTCTGGAGGGAAAAAAGCCTTACTATCACCTAGATTTCCAACTTCTGGCCTCCAGAACGGTGAGAGAAAACACGTGAGCTGATTTAAGCCACCAAATTTGTGGTCAGTGTTGTGGCAGCCCTAGGACACGAATCTAGAGTGCTTGTTACCTCTTCATTTGTTCTCTGCTCCCAGTGTCAATTCTGAGACATACACATCACATTTAACCTTGATCATATGTACATCTATTAGGGGGCTTCTAAAAGTTTGGGGAGAAAAACCCCCCTATTATTTTTCAATTCCATTTCTCCATGAAATGTTTGAAGTCCCTTTGTATATGACTGCATGATAGTCTGTTTTTTGGATTGACATAGTCTGTTTAGCCAACATTCTCTGTGTAATGCATTCCTACCTACTCACTTTTGTCTAAAACATACGTGGATCCCTTTATTTAGCATCATTGGTGTTTGTTATCTTTTCCTAGGATACGACCATAGAAGCGGGTCACGTTACAAGGCCAAAGGGGACAGACGGACTTAAGTCTGTCACAATTGTTTTTCAGAACAATTTTATCGACTTAGATTCCCACGAGCAGCGTGAGAGAGCTTTAAGGGTGAATTTTTACCCTGACTGGGGAGTGGATAACTAAGCGAGATTGTAAAATATTGGAGTTTTTGTTTGGCTCTGTTTGTTTTTGTTTTATCGCAGTGGAGGCTCTCTTTATTGAAGGGAGGTTCACAGGGCTAGTCTGCTGGAATAGAAAATGGAAGGATAGCACTCGCTCGATATGTTGTCCTTCTCGAACATCTCTGGATTCGCTCTTTTCTTTGAAAACCGGTACCAGCTGTTAAGAATGCAATCCAATGTGCTGTATGTTCAAATTTCCATGATTATGTGGAAAAGTCCAACACAAATAACTGTTAGGATTCTTGGAATGTTAACATACAGTACCCAGTTCTTCGCAGATAGCCTGAGACAGAGAATGCTTCAGCTATAGATCACTAGGACCCGGAAAGAACTCTCTTTTCTTTGGTCCCTCCTGTTTTCCCTGAATCCAGTGACTAGGGGGAGAAAGACGTTAGCACAAAGGGCAGGCTAATCCCACTCTCAGTTCAGCCTCTGCGGTCGTGAACAGGCCCATCGTAGGCATCAAGAGAACGACGACATGCCGCCCTGTCCATCGTTCCCGAGGCGATGCCTCATCTGCCTTTCTTTTTAGTGTCTTGTTTCTCACGAGGCTCAATGCAGCCACTTTTGTCACCAACAAAAATGG